AATGAAGGTAAAAGACTTACCTCGACCTATTAAGTCTATGCTAGCTGACAAAAGTATGATCACTGCCTCTCAATACGTCAAATGTTATTTCAGGACAAAGGAAGGAAAAAAGATCCTACATGAAGTATCCTTTCTCATAGAGAAGAACTTACCCTTTGATATAATTCTAGATATGGATTGGCATGAGGAAGCCAACCCAAAAGTTAAATTTAAAGATAAAATTGTAAAACTCAAGGACGAAAAATCCGAATGACGCGCCATAAAGTTATATTATAGATTTGGCTCAGACTATACTCTGTCTGTCTATTGTATGAGTTATCCATCTTTCCGATCAATGGTAGTAAAAAAAAAGTTGAATTAGGAGGTGATGATGGTGCTTGTCAAGGGAGTCGGTGAGTGTTCCTCATCCCATCCACCTATCGAGAAACTTCTTGACGAGTATAAGGACTTGCATATTGAGCCGATGGGAATCACTGAACGTGCTATTAAGCACACGATTGAGATTATTTATAGGAGCAAGATTCCCAAGGGTCCCATCTACCGAATGTCTCCTAGGGAACTTGAGAAATTGCGAAAGCAGTTGCAAGAACTTCCTGACAAAGGATGAATTCGCCCTAGCTCATCTCCTTACGGCACGCCTGTTTTATTCGTAACCAAAAAGGAAGGTGAACTTCGTCTATGTATCGATTATCGTAAGTTGAACTCCGTCACTGTCAAAAATGTGGAGCCTCTTTCGTGCATTGACGATCTATTGGATCAGTTGCAGGGATGCAGGTACTTTAGCAAGATTGATCTCAAGTCAGGGTACCACCAGATCGAGGTGGCTCCTGAGGATCAACACAAAACTGCATTTCAAACCAAGTATGGTCACTATGAGTTCGTGGTTATGCCTTTCGGGTTGACCAAAGCGCCTGCAACGTTCCAAAGGTCAATGAACGAATTGTTTTGTCAATGGCTTGATCAGTTCGTAGTAATCAACCTCGATGACATTCTAATGTATAGTTAAACACTGGAAGATCACGAGAAACACCTACGAATGGTCTTGCAGAAGTTGCGCGAGAGTAATTTCAAATTGAATCTGAAGAAGTCTGAATTTGCTAAGCCTGAAGTCTTGTACTTGGGGCATATAGTGAACGAGGAAGGACTAAGGCCTGAAGAAAATAAGATAACAACAATCAGATATTGGCCACAACCTAAGACTATAATTGAACTAAGATCTTTCCTAGGACTAGCTAGTTACTACAGGAAATTTGTCAGAAACTTCTCCTTGATAGCTGCTCTTATGAGAAGATTACTGAAAAAGGAAAAGACTTAGTTGTGAGATAAAGATTATGAGTCATCATTTAAAAAGTTAAAGCATGCTCTGACTCACTACCCTGTCCTAAAAATTGTTGACCCTTCTCTTCCTTTCATCGTTACGACTGATGCAAGTCAGTATGGGATTGGGGTTGTGCTACAGCAGGATGACGGTAAGGGATATAGGCCTATTGAGTTTATATCCAGAAGACTTTCGTTGGAGAAAGTCGCCAACTCCACCTACGAAAGGGAATTGTATACCTAGATACATGGAAGCACTACTTGTTAGGAAAGCATTTCGCTATCTACTCTTATCACTCTACTTTGAAGTGGATCAAGACTCAGCCCAAACTTTCCGACAAGTTGGTAAGGTGGTCCGCTTTCCTTGACACATTTGACTTTGAGGTGAAAACCATCAAAGGTAAGTCTAACGTGGTTGTGGATGCTTTGTCCAGGCGTGCAGATTTCTTTGGAACCATTGTCTCCTATCTCAATATGGGAAATGAAATGAAAGAACAGATCCGCCAGGGTTATGGGAGTGATCCTATTTGGAGTCCTATCATTGAAACTCTACGAAAGAACCAAGTTGCTTCTAGAATATCATGACTGATGGCTTACTCTTCTTGCTGGATAAAATCAAAGAACGATTGTGTGTTCCTCACCTAGAATCAATCAAGAGTTTAATCATTGGGGAATGCCATGATGGTTTTAAGAAGACGTATGCCGATGTGCGTGAACGTTTTGAGTGGAAAGGAATGAAGGAAGATGTACTAACATATGTGTGGACTTGTCTTGTCTGTCAAAGGAATAAACCCTCACACGAGAATCTGATGGGACTATTGCAACCGCTGCCTATTTCAAGTGAGCCAGAAGAGTCCATCCCTGTGGACTTTATGAGCCTCACTAAGAATCGAAACGGCAGCAGTCAGGTAATGGTCATCGTCGATAGATTCTCCAAGTATACTATGTTTATTCCTCTGCCTGCTGAAGCTAGAACCAAACTAGTCATTCAAAAGTTTCAAATGCAATGGGTCTCTGAGTACGGATTTCCCAAAACCATCGTATCAGATACAGATGTTCAGTTCACCAGTCTACAATGGCAGAAGTAGATGAATGTCTATGGAACCAGGTTGACCATGTCGTCAGGTAGACATCCTGAAACAAATGGCCAAACTGAGCAAATGAATCGTCTTTGCCAACAACTTTTGCGAATGTATATCTGACTTGACCAAATCGACTGGGCTGAGAACTTGCCTAAAATTGCTAGTGCCTACAATAACAATACACATACTGTTACAGGAGAACGCCTAACACACTGCATAAAGGATGGAAGCCTAGGCGTCCTATTGAGGACCAGGTTCAAAGACTACCCCCAGGTACACGAGAATTCACAGTTTTATACGAAGAAGATATAAAAAAGGTTAACGAAAACATACAGAAAGCCCAACTACAAATAATTGAACAAGCTAATAAACATCGCCGACCTTCACAATTTCAAGAAGGGGACTTCGTCTCGGTTAAGTCTAAAGAGTTTTCCTTAGAAGAAAATGTGTCTCTGAAACTACTACCTGTCTACTACGGGCCCTGGGAAGTTCTCAAAGAAATTGGAGGTGAAGATGGACCTTCCTATCGTATAGATGTACCTTCACGTCTAAGGACATACCCTGTCTTCCATGCGTCTAAGTTGCTACCCTATGTAGAAAGTGATAACTTTCCAAATAGGCCATCCATGTTTCCACCCTCTATGAATGGAGGCTATGAAGTTGAAAGGATATTGGAACATGGCTATTTTTCTACAGGTGGCAGAGGACGACCTCAGAAGCAGTACAAGGTAAAGTTCAAGATCCAAACCCCATCTGAAGCCAGATGGTTTAGTAGGAAAGAACTCCTACCTACTGCTTCTGAAATTGTTGCTGCATATGAATGTGGGTTAACTGAGAATCAATGTATTTTCTGTGATGGAACTCGAAAACCGGGCCGGCAGGAATGCAATAACCCATGCCACATGTCTCGTGGAAAGACTGAGGGCCAACTCGGCCGCCCTCGGCCCAGGCCAAAACGGGGACAAAAAGGACCCCATACGAGGACTCAGGGCCTGGACGTGAGACAATTGATTCTGGTCAACTGTTGTGACCCCAACAATCAAAGTCCAAAGGTAACTAGCCCAGGCAGCTGGTCAAGCACACACACTTGTTTGTATGCAGGTACCCAGACAGCATCAGGTCCAAGGGAGAAGTCTGCAACTGCACAATCCGGACCCTCAGCTGTGAGTCAATTTGGACAACTGTGGGGAAAGCACCCGAGGCCAGACAACCTTGACAATTGCTACTTAAGGTTGGCCTTGAGTGAGTCGAGCATTCAGTCTTGCTATGCTGCTTTGACTCTGGCTCGACTTTGACTAGACGTTGGCATTATGCTGGCTCAACGCTGGCAAGACGCCGGTTGTGCACTAGCGATGTGGACGACGACACGAGGTGGAAGAAGCATGCTGACGCTTTCTGGCTGAGGTGGCATGCTGATGTGGCGCTACCTCTGGGCTACATTGCATGATGATGTGGCACTACCCTTGGTCTACCTTGCATGCTGATGTGGCGCTACCTCTGGTCTACATTGCATGCTGATATGGCGCTACCTTTGGTCTACATTGCATGCTGATGTGGCGCTACCTCTAGTCTACATTGCATGTTGATGTGGCGCTACCCCTGGTCTACATTGCATGCTGATGTGGCGCTACCTCTGGTCTCCATTGCATGCTGATCTGGCGCTGTCTCTGGTTTACAGTGCGTGCTGATGTGGCGCTACCACTTGTCTACATTCTGATGTGGCGCTGCCACTGGTCTCCATTGATGATGTGGCATATGCCACCTGTTTCGACTACTGACGAGGCATTGTCCACGCTATCTACATGAGGTGACTGGTTGCGATGAGGAGGAAGATCGGGATCTGTGGATGAAGGAGGTCGGGTACTCACCTGAGGTTGACGTCGTCACTGGAATCTGCTATGTCTTCATGGTCTTCACGAGATAAAGTGTCATGTGGCACTATTATGTGTAATCAGGAATATACTTATTATCATTGTTGACGCGGAGAGGGAAGAAGCCCGGAGAAGGAGAGGGGTCTGAAGGGATTATTTGTGATCTTTCATCTTCTCCTGTGTCTATTCCCCCCTCCACTCTCTTCTTTTGATGGTAATCAGATACTGTTTGAGATATCACTTCACGATTTGGAGACTTTGATGCATATACTGAGACTACTGATGTTTGACAACTTCTAAGTATCTACCAGATTGAGTTCATTACAAATTCATTCACGACTGAATTAATCCCTTTACTCGGAATTAATCATCCCTTTTCGAAATTTCAGCATCTTTCTTCATTATAAAATTCTACCCTGAACGTAAATCCTAATAAATTTAGTCAGAATTTTTTTTCTTCTTCTTGGAATTCATTATTTTTTTTCTTCATTTGGAAATTCCTGAAAAATCCAGTTTTTCTCTCAAACCCTTTTTTCGAATTTTCTTGAAAAATACTCTTGAATTAATTTCGAATAAATTCAAATAGTTTATTCAAAATTCATTCTTGTTTTGCAAATTTTATTACCTTCACCGCTAAATCAATTGATGTTACTGTACCCTTGTAAATAGGAATCCGCCCCCCGGGCATGCCACACACAACCAGGAACTCTCAATGCGCAGCCGCCGACACCGACACTGCTGCCGCCGCCTCCACTGCTGCCGCCGCCTCCACCTCATCCGCCGCTTCCATTGGTTCCTCCCCCACCATGGCCCAATTGTCCAGCATTGATATGTCCGTCATCCGCATCGACTCCGTCGACAGCATCGCCCGCAACCTCGTAGGTGAGCAAACACCAGCACCCGATGCCGCCACCGACACTTCTCCGCATGGTGACATCCATCCACTCATCCATTGACGACATCAAAACATCCGTTTCCACCACCTCCGCTCGCATGACTACCATTGAAAATCAAACTTCCGCCATCTCGGTCGTCACTACCACGTCCCCCCCCCCCCCCCCCCGGGGCCACCACTCTTCCCCCCCCCCCCCCCCCCACATCCACACCAATCACCTCCCCCCCCACATCCACCCCCCCCTCTGCTGGCACGTCATCCACACCCCCGCCTTCATCCACCACTACCTCCACCATGGTCACCCAGACGACAACACCAATCGTCACAGTCGTCGACCATTCCCCCCCAATCAAAACCCCTCTTGACTTCGTTCACTATCACCACCACCCTCCCAAACTATACTTAGATCATTCACATGCCAGAAGCTCTATATCCCGCTCTTCCACTACTTCCCCTAAACGCTCTCATCCCCACCAATCCCACCAACGATTTCACCCGGGTCGACTCTTCCTCTCCCACCCTTGATTTCAACGCCCTTGCCGTCACTGCCTCCAAGGACGGCAAAATCCCTCCATCATTCCGCACCAACGAGATTCCCACCTTCTCACGCCAATGCCATGAGGATGTCTTCCTCTTTCTCACCAAACTTCAACAAGCCTTCTCCCTCCACAACATTCTCGTCGTCCACTGGCTCCCCATCGCCTGCAGTAGACTTCTAGACAACACGCTCGCTGGTGGTACACAAAAATGACCAACCACCATCACGCCAGTCTCCCACCTCACTCCTTCCTTGAGTGGGCCACCATCATCACCTCCACCTTCCGTCCACAGAAAACGGTCAATGACTACATCGACCAATTTTGTCGGCTCCAACAAAACGACCCAACCGACTGTCTTGCGCAATATGTCCGCTCGCTTTGTCAACATATCCCCATCGATGTCGTCAGCGACATCGCATTCATCTCCCGCGTCAAGCGCGTATGCCGCAAAAACCTGGCGGCCTCCCTTGTCCACGAGCCCCCCATGACCCTCGCCGACCTTCTCACTCACACCCTCCAAATCTACCGCATCTTCTCCCCTTCCAACACTGCACTTATATCAGCCCCTCCCCGCCGTCGCTTCTTCCACAACATCGCCTCTGAGGACACCACCTCCACCACCTCCTTGGACGAGTTCACCGCCCCTAACCCCGACACCCTCTCCGATCCACTAGACACCACATCGCTCTCCGCCGACGAACTCTCTGCCATCCACCTCATGCGGATGGAAAGGAGAGAACGCACCAGCTGTCCTCCCACAACCACCCGCCCAGCCCTGCTCAAAAAGCTCACGCAGGAGGAACGAACCTACCTTCATGAGAAGGGTGGTTGTTTCAAATGCCAAAGATTAGGACATCAACAGACACGTTGTCTAAATACAGCACAGTTTACACATCAGGCACCCAGGTTCGCAGCCCCCCAACCCACCACTTCCGCATCCGCCACTCTCGATCCCTCCTCCACTTGAACACTGTCCCCATGATCACCATGAACCCGCCCCGGCATTGGCGACGAGTCTGTCGACCATCCCATCGGTGATAACCTCTATTCCACCGATGGCTCAGTTGGCATTGACAATTTGTCTGCCCCCCCCCTCCTCGATGACGCACTTCCCACCGGACAATCCTCCAGCATCATCTGACACCGCTCCCACAGGCACATGTTCCTCTACCCTTCTCCCGAATCCAACCTCCGTCACCTTCTCTGATCTTGTTGAGGAACAAGGCCAACACGATCAGCTTGTCAGATTAGGCACCGAACAACGCCGCCTCAACGCCATCATCTCCACCGCCTACTCATCCCACTTCCACCTCAAGCTTATCACCGCCACCCTTGGTGCATCTACAACCAAGTTTCGGGCCCTCCTTGACATTGGAGCTACCAACAACTTTATCACTGATGCGTGTGTCCGAAAACCCGGTCTCACCTCTACCGGTTACTACTCCCCGATTACCTTTCGTCTAGGGGACAAAGACGCCGCCGTCGTGGTAGACCGCACGGTTCCCGGGACCTCCATATGATTGTCGGAACCCTCCGCAGTCAGGTCTCATTCAATGTCATGCACTTGATGTGCGACATCGTTTTGGGAACACCTTGGCTGGACAACTACATGCCATACGCGTTCCACCCCAACTTCTCCCGCCTCACCAACCCCCCCCGACATGCCCATGGACATCCCCTATTTCCCCCACCCTACCTCCCAAAACTTTGTCACTCCCCACCAGTTTCTCCACATGGCCTATCACAACCCGACTCCACCTACTACTACCTTGTCCTTTATCGCAAACGTCCCGAGGACTTGCTCCCTATGGACAAACCCGATCAAGCTCCCCCCTCTGACCCCGCCCTCACCGCCATCCTCAACGAGTTCAAAGACTTTTTTCCCGCGTCCTTGCCTGTCGGATTACTCCCGGCTCGTGGTGTATCTCATACCATTCATCTAGAACCCGGCCACTCTCCGCCGTGCCGCCCTCCATACCAACTCTCCGGAAGCCGAAGGACTGAAGCGCCAGCTCAATGAACTCCTTGAAAAAGGATTCATTAAGCCAAGCTCCTCCCATTTCGGTACAAGCCGCCTTTTCGTAAAGAAAGGTGGAGCCTCAGAACTAAGGATGTGCACAGACTACCGCGCCTTGAATCGGATCACGATCAAGAACAAGTACCCCCTACCTCGGATCTCCGAGCTTCTTGATCACCTCTGTGGAGCCAAATATTTTGCCAAGAGTGACTTCCGCAGTGGCTTCCACCAGATCCGCATCCGCGAGGAGGACACCCACAAGACCGCATTCAACTCTCGCTTCGGGCACTGCGAGTTCCTCGTGATGCCCTTCGGACTCACCAAAACCCCCCGCATTCCAATCCACCATGAATCACATCTTTTGCAACCTCCTCGAAGTCTGTGACCCCGTCTACCTTGATGATATCCTTGTTTATAGCCCCACCTTCGAGTCTCACCTTCAACACCTTCGCCAAGTCCTCTCTATCCACAGAGAGCAAAAGTTTTCCGCCAAGCTCAGCAAATGCACCTTTGCTGCCTCTAGTGTATACCTTGGCCACATCGTCTCTGCTAAAGAAATTCGCATGGACCCCTCGAAGGTCACCGCCCTCGTTGAGTACCCCCCGCCCAAGACCCTACAACTACGCTCATTCCTCGGTCTTGCCAACTATTACCGCCCCTTCATCCGCAACTTCTCCAACATCTTTTACCCACTCCACGAACTCACACGCAAGGACGAGCCCTTCAATTGGAACGACCGCCACCAAAACGCCTTCGTCTTCCTCAAACAAACCATCACCACCGCCCCCATTCTCAAGATTGTCGACCCCTCTCAACATTTCTACATTACCACTGACGCATCCGACTTCGTCACTGGAGCTGTCCTCTCGGAACATTTTCCTCGTGACACTTATGAAAGCCCCTCCATCAAAGACTCCCCCACCCACCCTGAGGCTCCACCCGACGAATACCCCATCGGCTTCACAAGCAAAAAACTCCCTTCCCTCGAAGATGAACTACCCCTCCAACGAGAAGGAACTCCTCGTCTTGATTCACGCCCTCAAAGTCTGGCTCCCATACCTCGACGGGCAATACTTCACTATTTGCACCGACAACACCATCATTTCCTCTATCCTCATTAAGAAAGAATCATGCCACGCCAAACCCGCTGGTTAGACTTTCTTGGCCAGTTCACATTCACCATTTGCCACACCCCCGACAAAAGTAACCGCGTTGCCGATGCCCTCTCTCGATGCCCCGACCACAAGCCCTCCGAGAAAGTCTATGCCACCATGACTCATATCCAAGTCCTCCCATCACTCCACCACCGCTATAACCACGGATACCCCTCTTGACCGGATTTCTCAACAATCTACAACGAACATCGGGATCTCGACCCAGACCCCGACTACTCCGTTCACGACCAACTTCTTTTCATCGACACCAAAAGGCACTCGTCGACTTTGCATCCCCGACGCATGTGGCCTCCGTACGCAACGCTTGGTTAAGCACCACGACGCCAAGACTGCGGGACACCTCGGGTCCCAGAAAACCTTTGACACCATCTCCCGTTACTTCTACTGGCCTTCCCTACTCGCCAACGTCAAAGCTTACATTCGCTCATGCCCCACATGTCAAGCCGTTAACCCTTCGAACCAGGCCAAACCCAGCAAGTTACAGTCGTTGCCTATTCCCACTCACCGTTGCCAGTCCATCTCTATGGACTTTGTGTGCGGTCTCCCCAAAACTGGCCGTGGTCATGACTACATCTATGTCATCATTTGTCGCTTGACCAAACGCACACACTTCATCCCTTGCACTACTTCGCACAACACCAAAGACGTCGCCACTCTCTTCGTTGATCTTGTCGCACGTCATCACGACCTCCCCGAGAATATCATCAGTGACCGTGACCCACGCTTTCTCTCACAATTCTAGAAACACCTTTTCAACGCATACGAAACCACGCTCAAGTATAGCACTGCATGGACAAACCGAGAAGATGAACGATACTCTCCAAAGAATCCTGTGGAAGTATTGTTATCCACACCAACATGACTGGGATTAGTTGCTCACAACCACCGAAATCGCCTATAACAACGTCGTCTGCCCTTCCACTGGCATGTCCCCATTCTACCTCGGTGTTGGCTACCATCCTCGCTTGCCCTCCGACTTCTTGCTCCCTTCACATCTCAACCCCTCCACCCTCTGCCCTTCTCTCAATGAACGGGTAACAACAATGAACAAACTCCTCAGAGAAGCTACCGAAGCCCTTGAACGAACACATGAACAACAAGCCCACAAGACTAACAAACACAGACGTGACGTGTCATTCAAAAAAGGGGATAAAGTCTAGCTCTCCGCCAAACGCTTGAACCCGAACACAGCTTGTCCAAGAAACTCTCGAACAAGTGACTCCAACTCTTCCCCATCATTTAACAAACCTCCCCCATCAACTACAAACTCCAACTCCCCCCTGACATGAGTCGTGTCCACCCTGTCTCCCATGTAGAATACCTAAAAGAATACCATGAATCCCCACCCTAATTCGCTGACCGTCCATATCCTAGACCTCCACCAATCATGTTACCCACAAGCCCTGAGTCGAAGCCATCATAGGACGAAGAACTACTCAGGTATCTGACCACCCTGGAGCAATCACAAAATACAAAGTTAAATGGACAGGATACCTTGACGAAGAATCCACATGGGAACTTCTTGCTAACCTTAAGAATGCCATGAAACTTGTTTGCGCCTATGATCGCGCCAATCCTATATCCTAGCTACCCACAAAGCCTAAACCCGCCTAAACCCTGTCTCAACCCTGCATCCCTCCGCTACACACATCCCGTGTACCCAGCAAAAACCTTGCCCCTTGACCTCCCCCTGTCTGATCCGTTCTTGTCTCCTTCTCGTCCCGTTCTCCCATTTGTCCTTTGCCTCTTGTCCAAGCCCTACATGTGACCCCTGCATGTCACCGACGATAAAGGATCTCATTGCAAGCGCACAAGGACAATGGCAAGCCACAACTCAGTACGAGGAGATAAGACAATCGGTTGGCCACCATGTTCTTCCCTTTGGCCGACACCTTGGACTCACAGACTTCTAGAGCAGCACCTTTCACATGGACATCAAGATCAGTCTGCGACCTGCTATCCGGATCAGACCTCATCATCAGATCATGTATCGCACGCAACCTGCTACTGGGACAATCAAGCTGAAGCCCTCGCCGTCTACATCACAAAACTGCTGAAGACTGCTTCCTCACCGCCATTTCTGCGACACCCGCCAAGACCTTCCTCAAGACATTTTTTCGCTCTTGACACTTTGTTACAGACCCGAGACGTTGTTTTCCCAAACCCCTCAATCACCCCAACACTTGAGCATCGAATAAACAATTTTATTTTTTTTTCCTCAAACCTGACAACCTATAACCTTGTAGAACACCAATGGGACTGCCCTGCTACTTGTAGAGCCTCAATAGGATCACCCTGTTCCTTGAGCATTGGTTCCCCCATCCCTGTAGAACCTCAATAGGATTACCCTGTTACCATGTTACTTAGCATTGATTCCCTCATCCTTGTAGAACCTCCATACGATTACCCTGCTACTTGCATTACTCCCCCTTCCCTTTTCTGACCGGTGATCAGCCCCGTCCCGTCCTTCACAGTTGTTCATTGGGTCTTTAGCAGTCGGGACGTTGCCTTCCAGAGGGAGGGGATAGTGTTACGGACTCAGCCACGGCTCGATCCCTAGTCCGCGGGTTACCACCCGCCAGGCTGCTATTTTATTTTGAGTCTCTGATCTCCGGTTCCTGTGTGTTGGCGCCCTCTACAGTTGGCACCCGTTCTCAAATCCCTCCTCTGGCACTTTCTGACTTTGATACTTGGCGCCATCCGGCATTCTGGCGCCCATACTCAAACTTTCGATTTTCAGTTGAGCCCCGAGGCAAATTGCACTTCTACCCTCGGACTCAACTTGAGTCCGATACTTAAGACCGGACTCAAGCTGAGTTCGGGCATTCAGTTTTCGGTCTCAGTGCTTGTGTTTCAGTGTGACTTGCTGCGATATTGTGTTCGGAACCCAAGATTGCGACTTTGCGACTTTGCCACTTTGTGTCTACGTCCGTCGAGTCGTGTCAAGTCCGTGTCGAGTTGAGTGAGTGTGTGTGTGTGTGCTCTCAATCCCTCCCTCTCTCTTCCCCGACCTCGCCGCTGTGCCTCAACCCCGTCACAGAGCCGCCATAGTCACAGAGCCGCCATAGCCAAGGTTGACCGGAGCTGGAAGGCGTTGACCAAGTTCACCGGCGTTGACTGGGGATTTACCGGCCAAGTTTGACCAAGCGTTGACCAGCGTTGAACGGCGAGCGTTGACCGGTATCGTTCACCAAGCTGGAGTGCAGAGCAAGGAGCGGTATACTCTCTTCAAGCCCTGGCTCTATCCCTGTTATCTTGTGAATGTGCACTCACCTTGGTGCTTGCTAAAGAGTCAGTCAGATGTCATCTCCTTTTGGCATCGAGTCATTTCTGTCCAGGTCGATAGGACTTCGTGCATGTGGTCAGATAGGGGTTGTGATCCAGTGTCTGCACGAGACTTATAGGGTTGAGGTGTGTATAACACTACACGACCTGCAAAACACCCCAAGGACCGGTACAAACCGACATGTTGCTTTGGGTGGCACACTATACCTGTAGAGAGGGTATCCAGTTTGTCTACGTTTTGAGAGGACTTTGGTTGTGAGCGTTGTCCTGTTTGCGACGTTAAAGGATTCTTAAGGAGTTATGAGGGATCTCCTTAAATGCCTCCTGATCAGCCAGTAAGTCCTGTAGTGACAGACTAGAGTAGTTTGGGGCAGAGCCGAGTAGTTGACAGAGAGTCAATCTGAAGCCAAAAGCCAGGTGGGTTTCGGTGACAATGGTTGCGAGCACTTCTGTCGATTGTGGCAAGTTTCAGTGACAATGGTTGCGAAAGCATCCGTTGGCTGTGGAAAGTTTCGGTGATAGTGGTTGTGCTCCAATCCGTCAACTGTGGAAAATTTCGGTGACAGTGGTTGCAAAATCATCCATCGGTTGTGGTAACCTGGCTTAAGCTGAAGAAAGACCTCTGTAGTCCTTCAAAGAGTTGAGTGGGTAGGTCTACGTGTTGAGGAGTGGAATGGTCAGTAATTGTGCCCTGCCAACATGGTGACCACACGAACCGGAACGAGCACTACCTCCTATAGTAAGGAACAGGAAGAGAGGGTCACCGCTATTCTTCGTGAGAAGAAGGAGAGGATGAAGAAAAGAGAGTTGATTAAACAAGCGAAGAAATTGGCTCTGTTGGAAGAGGAGGTGGCCAAGAAGAGAGATGGAAGAAGACTTGGAGAAGTGGAAGAAGGAACATGAAGAGAAGTTGGCCGCAGTCGAGGCTGACGTAGAAGAAGAAGACGAAGAGGAAAAGGAATCCGAAGAAGAAGAGGCTTTGGTGAGAAAAAGGGGAGGCGAGTTCCAGTGGTCCTCCACCAAAGAGGAGGAGAATATGGTTAGAGAG